TATATATATATAAGTAATTATATCTAAAAGTTATATGTATAGTAGTAGTCTTTATATATGTACACTAGTTATACGTTGGTTTTACATATTTCTCTAGAAGTTCTTGCTAAAATACTTTATTGCTTTTTCTTGTGTTAAGATTTTTGCAAGCTGCTCACCTCCATAAACGGTGGATTTTTTTTGTGTTCATGCCCATTAAGTTTTTTGTTGAAGATTTGTGAATAATTTTTAAATACAGTAATAATATTGTTTAATAAATGAATCTTAGACATGCCAGTTAATACACTCTCAACCACAGCATTATGATAAAAGTGAAGAACTATTAAGCCAAGGTATGCATCATGAAAAATACAAAATTGAAAAGATAAAACAACAACAACTACACCACAGCTATAGCATCATTATAAATAAGGGAAATGATTAAATAGTCTAATTTCAGGCTTATAAATTATTGTCAAGTTATTTCAAACATTGTTAGCAATATTTTGGTTTTGGAAAATGTGGTATGCAAATACCTCGTATCTTACACTTCTGTGAGGCATATATTTCCTATTTCTAGTTTGAATTTGTATCATGCTTAATCTTGTTGAGGTTGTGTAAGTTCAACCTTAGTTTTAACTTTCTGTAGCATGATTCAGTTCAGGAAGTTATCTAATGTTTTTGGGCCAGTCTTAGTATAGCATTTAGTGTGCTTGGACTGTGAATCTGAGGATTCATGGTTTGTAGCCTTCAAAATCTCACTTCAAATTTTGGAGTGCTTTGTAAGTTTCACAGTCAAACCTCACTATACAGTTAAACTATCAGTTAAATATTAGATATGGCTATATATATCACATAATCCTTCTTGTAGCTTTGAGCAAAAATTCTGAAACAAAACCAGTGGGTTTGATGGGCAATGCTTAGCGTTTATCCCAAACTCTTTAATACTGGAAATTTGTTTTCATTTTGAAACCCACATTTATTCACAGTACATAATTTTGTTGTCAAAAAATTGTCTTTTAAAGATAAAATTTCTACTCAATTGAAGTTAAATGAAAACATTCATTAGTGCTTCATTTTGAGGTTTTGAACTACTGTTTTCTAAATTCAGAGTTTTACAATAAACAAAAAGACAAAATGTTTTATATTTGACCCCTACCATAAATATTTGTAGGTTGTTCATTTGAGTGACTGACAAAAAAACAGGTATTATATCAATGTTTGTAATTAGATTTCTGGGCTGAAAACATACACTATTTTAGGATATATATGTTTAAACTTTCTTTGTTTAACTTGTGCTTTTGAGTTAACTGATCTTAAGTTGTTCCTTTTTCTTTCTTCAATTAGTATATTGCATAGTGTATTTTTTGTTTGTTTGTTTTGCAGTTTGGTGGTGGTGGTTCATCTCAAGATGCTACTCAGACAGAAAATAGTATCTCAGCTGAGATATCAGTTGACTCTAGTACCTCTCTGCAACTGGAGAAAAATATAAAGACTGAATCTATACACCACATCACACATGCTTATGAAGCTGGAGACAGAGGAAAATTGTCTTCCATTCTTCATCAAGACATGAAATCAATTTTAGAATTTGGAAAAGATCTTGGTAAGAAGCTGCTAGCTGTTATTAATTGTTTTTCATTTCTTATTTGTATTTTATATTATTAGCTTTTTTTTTTTATTCAAGAGATATGTAGTACATTATCGTGAATGTATAGATGGTTTGCAAGGTGTAAAGGCCCAGCATGGCCAGGTGGTTAGGGCGCTTGACTCGCAATTTGAGGGTCGCGGGTTTGAAACTCTGTCACACCAAACATGCTCGCCCTTTTAGCCATGGGGGCATTATAATGTCACGGTCAATCACACTATTTGTTGTTAAAAGAGTAGCTCAAGAGTTGGCGGTGGACGGTGATGACTAGCTGCCTTCCCTCTAGTCTTACATTACTAAATTAGGAACGGCTAGTGCAGATAGCCCTCGTGCAGCTTTGCACAAAATTCAAAAAACAAACAAACAAGGTGTAAAAGTTGATAAAGAATTTAAAGCTTTTGCTTATCATCCTAGTAATTCAAGTTTTATATAAAGCTTTGATATAGATCTAGGTTAGTGATAGATCTTCATACTAAGCTAACAATGCAAAATAATCTTTATATATTAAAAAATGAATAAAATGCACACACACACACAATAATAACTGTGATCATTGCTAGTAATAAAGCTTACAGTAAATAATGTTAACTAGCCTGTCAAGTTATATCTGGATATCAAAGGGCTTTGAGAAGTCTAATAACTAACAGCTTGAGAGATGCGTGTAAACCAAAGTTTTTAATGCATTAAAGATGATATGCAAAAATATTATTGTAGGTACAGACACAATGCTGTTATGTGAAATATTTGGCTTGCAGGTGACATTTCCCCCTCATTTTCTCTGCAGTATGACTAGCAATAACATAGTGTAGTATGATATGAAGAAAATATTATTTATTGTGGCATAGCACTTGATTGCTTCTTTTGTGTTTTTACGAAACATAGTGCATCATATTAGAACATGCAGAAGCACGCCAGTATTATTGATATTATGTTTTGAAAGTGAGTAGTTTTTTCTGGAGAAATAGATTAACAGAATTAATAAAACGTATAATACAATAACATAAAGTTCTTCAGGGATACATTTTGTGATTGTAAAGTATTAAAAATAGAAAGAAATATTCTAATTTAAAATTGATAAATCAATCCAAAATGTCTCTTATCCCAGAGAATATGTATTAATTATTTCATACTAGTTAAGTATAACAAATATTAAGAGAGAGAGATGTTTTTACCACAGTATTTTCCTTTCCGTTAAATAATGTGATCTGCAGGTGTACCTACAGTTGTGAAGCACAAGTTTTCAGTAACCTCTCGACATTGCATCAGAATTGTTCTGAAAGAATTTCAAACAGCTGTGAATGACCTAACTCCTGATGTTTTGCCAAAGATTTTCATCAAATTGAAAGATGGCAGTGAAGATTTCTTATCTTTTAATACCACGTGGCAGTATTATTTGGTAAGCTAATAAGCAGTCTCATGTAGTAATTATTTTATTCATAATATAATTTTAAATTATTTACAACTGTATAAGCCTTCCATAAAATAAGTAGTTTTTTCAACCTTTTCAGTACATTTGAATCAATTTATCTTTAGCTCTTATTGGTGGTGTTGATTTCAATGAATGATATGTAGACTATGGTGTATGGTAATTATAATTCTTACAAAACATTTTTCAAATTTTAACTTTTTTGAGTATTTTAATTAAATAATATTTTATCTGAGTGTATATTTTTTTTTCATTTTTTAAATACTATATTTCCCAGGGAGGGAGGAAACCAGGTGATCCGTATACCATGTTGTGTGATGTGCCACCTGGTGAAAAGAAACACTACATAGCTGTTGGGAGAAATGTAAACCAATGGCGAGCTTTCATGGGCTGTGATGAACTGTCATGTTTTCTGGAATCTGCATTTGTACCACAAAAAGGTAATTTAAGTCAGTAAACCAGTCAGTGTTCTTTCTTAGAGCATAGTTTGAACTGCATTTTTAAGTTTATCAAATGTAATGTTTCTAGAATTTTGGTGTTACCAAATTTTATGAATAGTATTGAAATAATGTATCGTTAATTAGTATGTATGTACTGAAGACTTAAAACATCAAAGATGTCTAATATGTAAACTTGATATCTTTATAAGTAAATAAGTATAATCATGCACGTTATGGAATTAGAGGTGTTTATCAACTGAATTTGCTACATATACGAATTTAAATGTATTTGTTTAAAATCAAAGTAATCTTTTTTTTTAGTGTTTTATTTGCACTTAAAAATTAAATTGTAAAAAACCTTTTGTTTTTCAAGATTGCATAATAAGTTTCACTTTTACATTTTATTCAAAAATCTATCCAGAGTATAGTTTGTTTGAAATAACTAATAGTTTATCTTTCACTGTGCCAAAATATGTCATTTTTTTTATTCTTAATTTACAGTAGCACAATTCTGTTTAATCAGTTATGTGTATGACTTTGTTTATTCATTTAGCTTTAATTCAACAAGTAACTAGTTTTTAAATATTTTAGTTTCTGTTATGTTTCATTTTATTGAAGATTCTTTATCTATGTTGTGAATTTTATAGGACAGAAGACATACCAACTTTATCAACCATATCTCTGTCAAGACAAGTCACGGGACAGTTCTGCAGCAGTCAGTCATTCAAGTCTTCTCACAGTGACCAGTCCTCTCCCATCAACTCCTCTAGCTGGCATCTCTGTTGGTGGGTCACCAAAGAGCTGTAGCAATGAATCTGCTACCTCTCCATTTGTTCCTCGCCAGAGATTTCTCATTCTTTTTGTGGTTGATAAAGAAGTAAGTTGCAACTTTTTATTTTTGTAATTAACTTGGTTAATTATTAACTTAAATAACAGGAAGAACCATGAATGACTTAGCAAGTTCTTTATGTATGTCAGAAGTTTAAAGCTTTTTGTGAAATAATAATTTTCTCATAAAAAAAATCTCTGTAGCATTTTAGACATTTTCTGTTATTAAATGGTTAAAGGTATTCGTAACATAAAAGCATAGCTACAATGTATGCCTGTGGGATCACGTTACTCCAATCTTAGCTTGTCAATACTTGCTGTCCGGTGTTGACAAAGCAGATACTGTCTAGATGTATAAGGAAGAGATTGTATTGTTTCAGAATTTACTTTATGTATAGATGAATTTTCTTTGTACCTGTTTCGAAGTGGATTCACAAATCTGTCCAAATATACAATGTGGACTGTGTTGGCATGCGTTAATTTTTCAATCAAGGGAGCAAAAGCTAGTTCTTCTTATTTTCAAGGACCACGAAAGGGAAAATGGGGAGAAATAGGGGAAGTGTTTTATTCAGAAATTTGTACAGCTAAATAAATTAATAAATTCTGTGTAAATGTCCTATGCAGTTGGTGTAAATAATTTTGACAACATGAATAAGGAGGATCTTATCTGTACACCAAGCACAAACTTTTTATTTTCTGTGAATTGAGGAAATTAGTAGTTAAATTATTTATAGATTTATAGAAGAATATCTAGAGAGTGGATGTTGATCATGCTTTCTTGTTTTACCAAACCTTTGAGTGTATAAAACTGCACAAAATAGAAAAAGTAAATGTTAAGATTCTGTGTTTGCTTTTTTATAAGGATTTAAATGAAAACTGCAGAAACACAATGAAGAATATCTCCACATTACATATGTGCAAATCATTTAAAATGGTAAATGCATGAAAGAATCAATTTGAGGTAGCAGCAGTGGCAGCATCAAACTAAAAAAAAACAAAACAAAAAAAAAAGACAAAAGGCAGATTTGTCTATCCTTTGTCTTTATGCCACAGAAGAAACTGGTTACTCTGATGCAAAACTAACATTGTCATTGAAAGGCTGCAGACTGAAGAACTCAACATACTTGGTCCTGTAATACTTATCCAAATTACAGTATTATCTTTGGAAAACAAAAGCCAGAATGTTGAAGAAATGAATAATGAAATTTATTTGGTTGCTTTATTTGCTTACAGATTTGATGTGATGTCGTGGAGGATTACAGGAAACATCAAAAACCCATATGCTTACCACATTATATAGCTGAGCATCTTGAGACCCAAGCACTGCTAACTTTGTCAGAAATTTACAAGTATGGATTCCAGGCTATGCTAAACATAGTACTTATCCAGTACAAAGAGAATCCAAAAGTATCTCAAGCCACTGGTATTTGTACTACAGCCACCATTTTCCTGAACATTATTAGAAAGTGTGACATAGGCAGCATATGAGCTATTTCCCATTCATAGACCAGACACTTGTGTTAGCTTCTGAATAATATATTTTCGGGACAATCTGTTTGATTCAAAATAGTCAATTTGTATACAGAGTGTACAACTGCTATTAGCAACTAATACCAACTGCTATTAGCAACTTCTTAATAGTAGCTAACAGAGAGAACTTTTGGTAAACTTGTCTTCATAAGAAACTACTTATCATTTCACAAAGATAATTGACAGGTTAGACAGTCTCAGTGTCCTCAGCATGTGAAAAGATGTAACTGTTGGGATAGACCCACAACAAGCTTTAGGAAAACAGTTTATACGGAAAGAGGCATGTTAATGTATAAAATGTGTTTAACCCTATCATGACCAGTGAGAACCTTTCAGGTGTTAAGTGCACATGTATTAAATTTTATAATTTCTGTAAAAATAATAATTCCAACTCTTTCAACATTTTACTAAAAATATTTTACAGTTGTTGATATTTTGCTATTTTGTAACATTTATTTAGTGTAATTCTCAAAGAAAAATTCAAACTGCATTTCTCTTGCAGTTCCAAGGAGTCTTGCCTGTGAACAGCTAATTTTTCAGTTTTTTATTTAAGTTTCTTTTATGAATCCCAAAGTATGAGAAATCATAATCCCATTTTTTGGTTTTAACAACACCCATAATTATATTATAGTAATATATGTTTTTCTTCCTTCAGCTTACCTTATATTTGTATAATTGGGCTAATGAATTGTGCACCAGTATTATCAACATGATGACTCGCTTAGTTTTGTGGCATAACTCTCGTGCCATTGTGCTGAACAGTGTCATCTGTCAGAAGTTGGGCTTTTTTTTTAACCAGCCATTGGATCGTGCTGTTAAGACAATACATGGGACCCAAAAATCTCAAGTAAGAGGATAAAAAAATTTGTCTGTTCAATGTTAAAATAGTATTTGTGTGTATGTAATGTTGATCATTCATACTGACTAGTATCTAGTAGACATGAACCACTTTGATGTCAAACTTCTGAGCCTGTAGTCAATTAAACCACCTAATTGTTTAGAGGAATGTTTAACATCCTTAAAAACGTTCCATACTTGTGAATTTTTAGAAGCTACATGGGGCTTTTAAATCTAAGAAATGATTAAATTTGTAGGATAAATCTTCATTACTGTGGCAGTATTATGTTTACCAGTTTAATGTATACAAGCTTAGAATGATAATACCTATAAGCTGAAAAATGTAGTTTGCTCATTTTATAATGTAGAACGACTTTGAGAAAATGGATAGTTTAGCTTAAAGATGGTGAATCAGTTCTCTAGAATGAAATCTTATATGTTCAGAAAAATTTGTATCTGTTAACTTTTTATGTACAGGTGAGGGTCAAAGTGTGCATACTATGACCTTTTAAGAGTGCTATCAAATATGGTATAATGTGTTTGGTGTCAGGATTATTAACTATATTACTGATTTAGCAACAATTCTTGGTAGAGGAGAGCAAATACCAGATACATTATACAAGGATATAAAAAACTGTAAATATGCAGTACCCAACATAATCAAGAAGGATTTCTGTCTGAGAATGAGGCCAACAAGGTATGAATTCATCAAGATAAGGCTCCAGTCATACCTCAAACAGGGGGAGTATTGAATAGTTATCCATGCTTTTCCATACAAAGTCACAGGATGTAGGGCCTATGGACTTTAATGTGATAAGATTGATGATGTTGATGCTGTTGTCCTCATACACTACTTTGATTTTGGAAAGGCAACTTTGAGGAGTACTGTGTTTTGGATATGACAAACTTATAATGGAGCCTTTTGCGATGTGAACTTTGCTGCAGGGCTATTGTCAAGATGTACGGTTTGCAAATAGGGAATAACTGAATATGGCAACATTGACTGTAACAATGTCATGGGCCTCCAAGTTTGTTTTATCCCTATGGTAACAAGCTGGATCATTTTGATAAGCTTTGTAACCATGAAATTATACATAATGTAACTCAGAATGTATTAAGTGTATCAGAATTTACTTAAGTGTATCTTCACAAAATATACAAATATGTTGTTGTACACAGAAAATCAGATTTTTTGCAGAATATTTTGTACTAAAATTTTTTCTGTGAATTTAAATCTTTGTTAAGTCAGTCTGAGTGAAAGATGCTTTTCATATTAAAGATAAAAATATTTCTTTTCACCTTATGTTGTCATATTTCATTTACATAACCTCCTAAATAAAAAAATTCATTTTTGAGAAAACTTTCATCTCTTATTTTCTCTATCCTAACACTAATTATAGTGAAATTATTATTTTACAGTGAATGAATGGTTAAACATTATAAAATGAAATTAAGGACATGGTTTATGCTTATAAGGTTGTGAGTAAGGGTGAAATGCATCAAAATATCCAAGAAGCCTTCACAAAGATTGATCCTGCAATGTTGGAAAAAACTTGGCAGAAGTTTGTAAGTTGTGGTGTACATGCTGAACTATGGTAATTGTAGGAAATCCAGTCCTGAAAGGGTGAAGTATCACCTTGATGATGTGCTACATAAATGTGAAGTTTTGTATAAGTTAAGATGCACCTAATCCTGCAATTCTACAAAGGTTACTTTTATAATTAATTTCGTTTTATTAGTTTGGAAAAATTAATATATCATTGTGGTTATTGGATTTTTTGTGTTAGTATCTCACATTTGTAATAGGTTGTAATTAGCTAAGAACAAAAAAGAGCATTTATAAATTAGTTAACTTATTGCCTACTTGATATTACAGCAATTTTACTGTTTATTTAAAAGCTTAGCATTAATGATTTAAAATGAGTTATCTTTTTGCCACTCCTTCCATAATACTGAGTTTGTTCATGACAATTTTTGTTCTGTTTTCTGTTCAGACAGTTGTGACCAGCTTTCTGCCCATCAATGTAAATCATATAACTATTCTCATAAAATATCTCAGTCCTCCCCACCGAGACATTCAGCATGGCAGCATTGTAGGTGGTCGACATGGTACTTCTGGTAGTAGTCAGACAAATTTCCCAAGCATGCTTGAATTCCTTCGAGATTCACAACCGCCACATCCTTTACATAAAACTCGTTATGGCCTTTTGAGAGATCCAGTTATGAGACATGGAAAGCAGCTTGATGAAACACGTATTAACTCAGAAGGAAGAGGTAGTTGTCTTGGTTGTTTTTCATCCTAATGATTAAAATATTCAAAACCTGTAATTCAGTTTTGGAAGAAAATGAAAATACTTATCCTTTATTTCAAGTTTTTTTATTGAATTGTATGGAATAAGTGAACTCCATACTCTTAAGTTCTCAGTAAAATCCACTTAGGGTATTAGTACTTTTAATTGTCTCACTGAAAGTCAGCATTTAAGAAATGTTGAACAAGCAATGCATTAAAAATGGTAAGCAAACCATTTCAAATGCCCTGCTGACTGAATTTGTTTTTTCAAGTAGGCATTAAAATTTTCATTGATACAAATTCAAATCTGTTTCCAGAGATAAATAATTATGAGCAGGCTTTAAAATCTCCAGTACAATATGTTTAGTATACAGTTAGATTTGCATTTAAGAGTTTCCCCTGAAGCTAATAAATGAATAATAACAAAAATAATGTGTCAATTTTGAAGAACTTGGTAAATTGACCCAATTATAATATAAAAATTTTTCTGCACTAATTAAAATCTACTGCAACTTTAACATATCAGTTTGTTTTGTTGAATCTGCATTAAATATTAATATTTTATCATTTCAATGTTTAAATTTGCTGATACACACACACACACACATTTGGATTCAAAAGCCCTTAAGATAATTCACGTTATACAGTGAACTTGACATTTTTAGTTGAAGTCCTAGATGTATCATAGGGTATACCATATGTATTATATTTTCTGCATTGTCCATTAGTTCTACTTGAAATTTTGCTAAACTTAGTGTAATCATCTAGCACATGATAATGTTATACAACTGTTGGGCAAGTATTTGACACATGGTCTTATTATAGGCATGCAATTAAATTTTATTTTTTCATAAAATAAGTTTTATGATGGCACTATTCACTTTTATTGAAATTTCAGATTTGCAAGACTTACAAACAATGTGGCAGGCTCGAGGAAGCAGTTCAAATGTGCCATTTATGGTAAGTTGTGTGATTGTGGTATACAATTGTGTTGTTTGATTTTAGTTGTTTTTATTTCAGTTTTTACATTTTATGACTGTATATGAAAATAATATTAGGAAATAGATTGAGGAATTTTGATAGTAAACGAAATAAAAATGTCACCAGGTTGAAAAAAATCAATTATTATAACAACAGCTTTTTCTAAGCTACAGTTTACCTGTAGGTAAAATTAAGTTTAGAGCATAAAAAAGTGGAAACTGAAGAAGTAAAAAATAAACTAGTTCAGAAAGAAGGGTTTGTGTTGCTGAGTGTTTCATTGTTTACAAAATTGCTTCAGTCAGCAGTGTAGCAAAGAAAGAGTTCAGAATAATCAATTATTAGCTCAGTGAGGGCTTTTAAGTTGTTTGAAAGTAAAAGTTAATATTAATCAATCTAAGCCAATTATTTTAATGTTTTTTATATTAAAACAACAACCATGACCTCAAGAAAAATATTACTTACATTTCATTTCTTAGGCTTTGTAATATAGCTCTTTCATATGTCAAATTGTTATTTAACGTACACGATATATTTACATATTTCAATATATGAATCAAGGTGGTAGGAAAACATGCTTTTCTGTTCTTGAGTAATGAGTGAAGCTTTTTCTTGTAAATCATCCCTGTTTAGCAGATTATCTTCCATATATCATTTTTATATCATGTAGACTTTAATGGAGTGTTTACACACGTTTAATGGTTCATGTATACTGATTATTTTAGTTTGTTTTTTAACGTTCTTGTGTTATTGTTTACTATTAAATCCTGTTTTAGATGCATATCCTTAATTTCACAGTTATAAGTATATTTTTTATCTGATACTGTTGTACCAGATACTTTTGTCACATTACATATGAATACTTTATATTAGTATGGAATATATCTGTAATGAGGTATATATGGGTAATTTGTCTAAATTTTCATGCAGATGTTCTGCACATAGTTTTGATATCTTTGTTAACATATTTATTACACTTGACCAGAGCACAGGCTCTCCAACTTTGTTCAGTTGCGATAATAATGCTGATAGTATTGACCATACAAAGCAAGTGAATGTAAGCATATATATTCGAGGATTAGGTGACTCCATGATAATGAGAGCCTGTGCATAATTAGTCAGTTGTCTCATCACAAAGACAATTGGCTAATGAATGATGATGTAAGAAACAACAAGGGCCTTCTTGTATAGTGGGTGAAAGTCTCTCATCATTGACAGTTTCTTAATGGTGATTGTATGCATTTAACTTAGTATTTTTCTCATTATGTGGTAATCTTATTGATACTAAATTTGCATATCATGAGCATTGACTAAACAAGAATGATTAAAATTGAATCGAGTCATATATTGAGTTTATATCATTGGAATATAAAGAAGTTATTGAAAATGTAAAATAAATTTTCCATTAAACACAGCTTTTATTTAGATACTTCATTGTAACTATTAAGAAAAATTGTCATAGCCTGTAAACAAAAATCTGCTAAAGGCCTAGCCACACGATCAATCTTCAGAAAGCATGCAGGCCTTATCATATGCCTCACTAATTTCGAGGGTTTGTGAAGTTAATTTAAAGGACTATATCTATGCAGATTTGAAGAGAAACTTTAGTGGTGGTGTTGGAGAAAGGGGGTAAGGGTATACATGGCAGCCCTCAAGCCTCAGGCTGATTTTCCTCAAATTTATCCATGGCTTACTTATATTCACTGCGATAACTGGCTGTAAAAAATATCATAAACATGTGCTACGAATCCTTTTACTTACCCTTAGTCTTATCTAACCTTTATCTGTCTCACAGAAGCTTGTATCAAGTTTGCCCTGTGCCTGTTCTATTCTCTGGGACAGAACAAGCCTATCTCAATTATTTTTAGAAATTTAGAACTTATAATGGCAAGAAAAGTAGTTAGACACGATTCAAAGGGCAATCATAGGGCTATAAAACAATAGAACTAATCATAAATAGATGTATACTGTTACTAGTTTCAAGCTACTTAGGATAAATGAATGTAGTTTCATGTTAGAATTTGAAGTCATTCTAGAAAGAAAAAAGGGGTAATTTAAATTTATTTATATTTTTTTTTGCTGGTTACAAGGTCAATCAAACTGACTGACATTGTATAGAGTTAGGGTAGAGAAAATAACAGATAATGTATTTAGGAGGTTTTGGAGATTACACAAATAAAATTTGAGATTTTTGAGATGAAGTGCTTTTAATCTTAACATGAAAATCACTTTACACACGGACTACTCAAAACAAATACTTGTTATATTCATGGACAAATCTTTTTTTATTTAAAATACTTCACAAAAAAATGATTTTTTGTATGTGAAAGACTTGTAATTTTTTCTGAAAGATTGCCAAATTTTGTGAATATACTATATTAAAAGTTAGTAGTATCAAATCTATAAAGACTATACGAGTACAAAGAGGTCACGTGGTTAGTCAAATCAACCAAGCCCATGTTGAGAGAGTTAAAGATGCAGGCTTGATTGAAATTGATACCTGGAAAGTGTGTACTCATGCTTGCACAGTTCTGCAGTCAATAGAGGTGGTTTAACCACTGATCATATGAAGATTGTAATGGTCCAGAAGTTGCCCCCATCTTATAATAAACGAGAAATCTTTAGCTTTCCAGGTTTTTGGTTAATTATTCCATATATCTTCACTATTGTCTGCATTGACTAAGTTTGAAATTACTTCCATACTATTGTTTGTTTGTTTTGAATTTCACGCAAAGCTACAAGAAGGCTATCTGTGCTAGCCGTCCCTATTTTAGCAGTGTTAGACTAGAGGGAAGGCAGCTAGTCATCACCACCCACCGTCAACTCTTGAGCTACTCTTTTACCGACGAATAGTGAGATTGACCATCACATTATAATGCCCCCCATGTCTGAAAGGGCAACCATGTTTGGTGGGATGGGGATTCAAACCCTAACCACCTGGCCATGCCGGGCCACTTCCATACAAAGCATTCTATTTTAAAATAGCTACCCTGTGCATTTCTTGGAGAAAATAACTTCCTCATTCGTAACTAATTTGTTTGTCAAACCACCTAAGATACTCACTGTGCCCAAACTCCCCTTATACACCTGCTTACCATATCTTGGGTGACAGAGCTCCCTTATTATGAAATAGTTGCAAAAAATTATGTAACTCTTACTATCCCCAAATTGACTTGAAAGTTATTATGAAACCCAATTTGAGACTAAAAAATTTTTTCTGCTACAAAGATCGTTTGGTGACTGCCCATTGTTCATATCATGTCTACTTATACACGTGCAGAGATTGTAAGGTGTAAGGCCTCCTATATTGGTGAAACCAAACATCACCTTAAAGTATGAGCATGTGAACACCTGTGCATATCTATAAAAACTGGAAAAAAGGTTACAAACCCTCCTAACTCCGCTATCTATCAGCACAATACAGAAACAGGACACCCAATTTCTCTCTCTAACTTTAAAATTCTCTCAACAGTCAAACATGATCTCAAAAAGTCAAAACTCTTCTTCCATCCCTAACATGTACAGTCTTCACTTAGTATAACTATTTCAACTGTGTCACATTTTTCATTTTCTCGTGTTATAATTGTACATCAAATTGTTTACTTCTTATGTATATATTTCTGTTGTAATTACAAATATGGTTTGTTTGTTTTGTACCTCCAGGTGAAATTATGATGATTCCGAAACATTTAATAAATGCTTCCTATTGTCACATTTGTGTTTAGCTTTATCATTAAATTGATAAATGTAGTACTGGCACGTGTGTAGTTAATTATTTTTTGTACCTTCATTATGAACCTTTGATGCACCTAATGGTCCCCAAAGCTATAAGACAGGAAATACTTTAAAATTTGCAAAATGCAAGAACTAGAGGGCACCAGAAAGTTTTACACACTATCGTGGATGTATAAAATTGGTTATTTTACCACGTATGATGCCTAGAGGGAACACTGACTGCTCCAAGGACAACTTACATAGGTTGGTAGATTTTTTCTCTCTAAGTGAATTCCATGGATATAGTTGTTCCTTTACTCAAAGCTGAGAGAGGCCATTGATTCGTTTACCAAGTGGGCTGAAATTTATCCAATGTCTGACATATTAATGCAATCCCAGTCTTTTGGCTGAACAGTGGATTCACTCTTTGGTTCTCCTGTAGAAATCCACATGGACTGAGGTGATAACTTCAACAACCAGTTGTTTGCAGAGTTAAATTGAGTGTTATGTGTGTGTTGAAAATGTACACTTCACCACATGAAACTCACTCTGATGGTTTGAATGAATAGGCAGTACAGACTGTTTAATATATGCTTGCTAGTTTGTTTATACCCTGACTGAAGTGATTGGGATGAGCACCTACTATATGTCATGATGTCATAATGCACAAACGAACAACAGTTGACCAGTTTTCTGAATCTCCTGGTGTTTAGATGGAAGTACAGCTCCCTGTGAATCTGATGTATTGTTCACTACCCAATGTGCACAGGAATATGTGAAAGGACTGTGTTCTGATGTAGTCAACATGCATGCATTTGTTCACTGCAAATGGGTAAAGAGTTCATGTATCAAAAGAGGTGTTATGACAAAACAATAACAAAATAGAAGTTTGAGTCTGTTGACTGGGTATGGTGTTGGTGTGTGTGCCTGCAGCACAGAAACATCTTCCTACAGCTGAACTTGTCTGTTCTTGTTTGTTGACAATTGTATGAAGTGAACTATGAATTATTGTAACAAACACGTTGAGAAGCTTCAACTAATTACATCACCAGGCTAACTCTGATCAGAACATGATCTGTGTCATGTAATCTCATCTCTCGTGAGTAATATGCTATTCTTATATATCTGGCTGTTTGATAAACAAACATGCAGAAATGACTTTGTGATCATACAATAGTATAACAATTAATAAATACATGAAAATTAGTTTAGCATTATCTTGCATCTTATAGCCTTTATATTTTTGTCTATGTTTAGGAGTACTGTTAATTATATATGACAATGAAATATACTCTGGATTAGGTAATTTATCTATTAAAATTTTTATCTATTAAAATTTGTTAAGTAGGCTATAATGTTGGTTACATAGTGTAGATTATGTTTGTTTTTGGGATAAAGATGATAAATATCAAGTGTAGTTTTATCATTAATTTTTATATTTGTGTAATCAGGACAAGCTACATCTGGTGAAGAAAGTGGGTCGACTTAGTCACTTTTGTCTGACACCATTATTATTTAGCCCAGCATGGAGATGGAAGGTGGGCCCTATTCGAGACCATACTTTTGATAACACTATTTTTGGAATTACAACTGGAGAGAAAACAGTGGAACAATCTCAGACGGAACAGAAAACATCTGGTGTAAGTTTTGTTGAAACTGTTTTAGGTTATACTTACTCTTTAAGCTAATTTATTTTGTCATATGTAAAATATTTTTTATTCATCTGAAGCAATTTCGTAATAATAGTTGCATTTGATTTGCAGTGCCAAATAAGATGAAAAAAAAGCATATACATATAGAAAAATAACTAAACAGTATATAATATGTAAAATATTAAAAAGCAGCTGCTGCATAACCATAACACAGTTGAAATAAACTCATAAATAGAAGTAAACAAGTTTAACTTCGTATCTAATCAATGGAGAAATATCAGATAGTTTTGATGAAAAGAAATTTTATAGCTTCACATTGTAAATTAATTATTTCATAAAATGTTTCCATTTTATTTTATGTTCTTGAAATAAGAAAAAGAAACTTTAAAGCACCCTTTCTTAAATCATAAATACATGAGACCGTTATATTTAAAGCCCAATACATTCATTATTTCTTGTAAACTAAAACAAACATCATTACTGAATAGGCAAAATAATAATTGTAATAAAAGTAATTAATACAAGCAGTAAAATCTATAAAAAAAATTATGATAACTTTATCAAGATGAGACTGAAAAGTAAAAAGTAAAAATATTATGATAATAGCAATCTAAATTTTCATTATCTTTCTCATCTTTTTTTTTCAAACTATATATATATATACTTACATCTAAATTTTCATTATCTTTCTCATCTTTTTTTCAAACTATATATATATACTTACACATCTGTGTTTTATCATCTCTTTCATCATTTTTCCAGTCTTGTCATATTTTTCTTGTTTTCTCTTCAGACCTTTGGAAGGCCTTGTTTCTTTTTCTTTGCATCTTTTCACACTTCCATGTGTTTCATCATCTTTTCTTCCTTCTTGCATTTTGTACATTTTAGTTTTTTCTTCTTCCATTTTGTTTGTTGTCTGTGTATGTTACTACACATGGCCATGTTTCAATAAACTTTTCTATCTTTCTAATGATTTTTGCAATTTCAGTTCTTCCAACTCTTTCCAATGATTTTTTTCATCCCCAGTTCCTATTTTGTCTTCCTGTTGCTTTCTTTCTGATTTACTTTTCCATCACACATCTCTTTAGCCACCTTTGTTCCTTCATTATATTATTTTCAAAACATATTCCAGAATTATTTTTATTGTAGATATTTCTGTGTTCAGTCTTTCTGCTTCCAATTGCCATATATTTTGTCATATTTCTTCCAATTTTCAGTATCCATTTCGTGTAACTTCTCTGCATTGTCCCATCTTACTTTTAATTTTTCTGCCCACTATATCAATGACTGCTCTTAAAGAGACATTTGTCTTATTTCAGTAGTTATTAAGCCTAAAAAAGGGGGAAAAAAACAGAAGTTTTAAGAGGTGTGGAAATTCTTATGTTTGCCAAGAGTTAATAAAATAAACATGCTTACATAAGAGCTTATTATTTTTGGCTTTTGTGCATATAGATTTCACACTTGTGATATAAAAATCAAATCCTAATTTGACATAGTCAATAGATGATTGCAATATTTCAACATAAACTATTCAAATAATATTTTACATATTACATTTTGGAGCAGAAGCACATTGGAATTGGCTTTTCTGATATTGTAAATTCCTTTGAAAATTAGTGGGCTCTATTTAAGATTTTGTAAGAGTAATACACTTTAAACTGTTGGATATTAAAAAATATTTCTAAATGAGAACATACAACTTTTTATTTTAGTTTGATAATGCTATTGGTGGTAATACATTTTACATATTTTTAAAACAAATTCAACAAAAAATGTCAATACTACATAAAACAAAATTGAAGTATGCTCATCGCACAGTTCCTCAGGGTTGATTATTAGAAACTTGTATAGAGTAAAAGATATATAGCAGTAGTGAAACTTAAAATACTACAACAATTTCTGTTTCTATGAAATTTCCTTTTGTTATTAACTTTTAGGGAAGGAAGTTGGGTAGCCAGATTTATCTTTTGACTTATTTATGATTTTTCATTTTATTTATAGAGATCTCGCCATAACTCTGGTAGTAGCATAAAAGGATTTGAAACTATTAGTATGTCAGTCACAAGTCGTTCCAGGTGGATGAGTGGAGCAAGTCAGCAGACAACAATTGCTAGTGCTTCAAGCTCTCCAAAGTTAAGACGATCTGCACCTGATGAAACATGGCACTTTGCTGTGTGCTCTAACTACATTCAGGAGTATATCCAATATTTACAGAGTCAAGGATTTGTAGCTGTCCAGGCAAAGACAGCTCAACAAAAACAGGGGTAAAAACTTGTAGTTATAGCTATTATCCATTATCAAAATGATTTCATTTGTGCATATACAATTTCGAGGTGATTAGCAATTAAAACTTTGTATTATCCTAGCTTGTACTGAAAATGTTTATGTTCAAATTATTTTGGTAAAAAAAATCAAAATAATCAAAAAATAAATTTAAGTTAGTAAATTATTGAAAAGTTGTGTGTATGTGATGTTCTTTCTGACTTTTTTTTTATGTTGAGATGTTTTAATTCTGCAATTGTTGATGTAGTTACAGGCAGTTTTAAAGCATGGTACATTAATATAAATTTAACAATATGATTTAAGGCAATAATAATAAAAGTGAAACAATGTTTTAAATTACTGTTTCTGTAGACAGATTTCAGGGAATTCAAGATCTGTTGGTTAGGCTTGTATACAATTTATTCCACTGACTTAACTTGTCAAGCTAAGTAATTTTTATCATACTAGACCCAATATTCTGTACTTTTGATGCAGCAAAAAAGTGGATCAAATATATTTGATTTTTGTTATTAGCCACACCTGGAGTCTTCTCTTTTCATCTCTTTCACAATGTTTTCAATTCCAATCCAACTTACCCACATTGACTTTCCAAATCTTTTCACTTACAGATCCTTTTAAACTGGTTTAAGCAAAAAGAAAGTGAACAAAAAAAGAGTATTTGCAGTTACTTAAAAGGAGATAGTGTTTCTTTCAGTAAATTAAAATTCATTAACATCGCTGTAAGACTGTAGAAAAGACCAACTTAATAATTTGAATAGGATTTTATTGATCCAAAATTACAGCTACTCATTCTAATCAAGAACTTCAACAGAACTTTTTCTAGTAAACTAGCATCTAAGCAAATTAACTAAAGCCTAAGTTGTTTTTTTAGGTTCTGAACTTTCTCTTATTCATTTCATCGAAATGAATTTCACCTCCATACGAGTGGTACAACAAAAGATAGTTTTTGACGGTTCTTAATGTGACAACCTTATCCTACATTATGGCCATAGGTTACTGCTAATTGAAAATATTATGCAAGAATGAAGTAAACAAGATACTAAAAACATATTGGGTAATTTGGAATGACAGGAGAAATATTTCAGTAACATTATCAAACTGGATGGGATGATGTTCTACCATCAGTGGTTAAATCTGCTAGTGATCCTATTGTTGAACCCTTAACTGTACTTGTAAATAAAATATGTACAACTGGTAAATTTTCTGAGATTCTTCATACTACTAACATTGTTGCCATCTATAAGGGTGGGAATATTGATCATGTAGAAAATTATCGGTCTATTTCCATCTTATCTGCATTCACTCATATTATCGAACATATATTTTATGATAGAATTATTGTTTCTTGAAAAAAATATAATTTTAAGTAATTCGCAATTTGGTTTCAGTAAGCACAAAAGTACTGAAACATGTACATAAAATGTACATACTGAATAGGCAATGTTATACTTCAATTATTGATATAAAGTCTCATTTCTTTAGTTTCCATCGTGAGGTTCCCCAAGGTTCAATCCTTGGCCCTCTCTTATTTATTATTTATGTTTATGATTTAATTTCAGTGTATTCAAAAGATACATACAATCTATATGTTGATGATATGATTCGTACTATTTTTTGTTGACCATTTTGAAATAGCAAACAATGATTTGTTTGTCGACAACTGCCTAGTTTTAAATATTTGTAAATCACATTATATGATTATATCAAGTGTAAATGAGGTTTTAAGGGAAATATATACTATCTAGAGTTGATTCAATAAAAGTTCTTCAGAATAACCTCTGGTGGGATGAGCATATTAAAAGTATCTAAAAAAAATTGCTAGAGTAGTCTTTATTATGACTCGGTGTAAGAGGGTTTTTTTCACTTAGAGTCCTTTATCAAACTTGTTATGCCATCTTTTACAGTTAAGTGACTTATTGTTTAAGTGTTTGGGGGTTCACGTTTTAATGCCTTAAGACCAATCTGTTACAAAAGAGGGTCTTGAGGCTAATGATAATGGACTTTTTTACTATTATCAGGCTTGTGTTTACTGCTTCATTTGTGTTGCAAGAGATATTATAATATTTAACCCTGAAATGAATTTGTTAATTGCCTCTAGAAATAGTTTATATTTATTTTGTCATAGAAATATCTATTACTGTCCAAGAAGCACTTTGTTTTTGAGTTCCAAGTTTTTTTTACTATTTAGCTCCAGTGAGTTTAAATATATTGAATTTTGATGATTGGTCTACCTCAAGTATAAAGCTATTTAAGATAAAAATATATTATGTATTTAATAATTATTCTATATTTGGTTTAACATATGTCTAAATAGTTTTTCTTTTATAGTTACTTATCGTTCTTTGCCGGAACTTATAGATTAAATAAAAATTAAAAGAAAGTCAGTTCCCGTTGTCTGAGGAATTTCTTAATAACTAACTTGATCTTAGAATTAATCAATTTGTCAACCTCACAGTCTGTTAACAAAGCAGTTAGTCTAAGTTCCATGTCACCAATCAATAAATATGTCAACATGCATAATGTAATATTTCTATCAGCTGTTAAACTTAACAAGACAGATTATTCACGAATAAACCTTATCTGTTGTTTCATACCTATTCTAATCTATCATTTTAACATTTATTTTCTTTCACTCTTTAAACACTCAAAAAGTCAAGGAATGCTCATAAAACAGTGCTAGTTTTAAATTGTTCAACTATAGTGAATTTGCAGATGTATATTGATAGGATACTGACAACAATAGTTGACTTCATCTTGCATTTATTTTTTGTAATATTAAGTATCATATTTAATTGTTTCTTTGAGGACCACTGGCCCTCTGAGAGATTCTAGCTCAAAAAGTGGATAACTTAATGCCACTCATCAGCAAAATAATTATTTGTTAAGATTAATACTGATTTTAGATCCATATATTATAAATATCATTTTGCTGTTAGTCAATCTTTAATTAAATTTTGTATGTGAATTTACCTTAATAAACATATAGAAATTATTGTTTATACATACAGTAGAAATAGTTGCATCTTTCAGCAGCAACCCCAGTTTCATAATTTCTTCTCAGAAAATAGCTGAAGGTAAAAAAAAAAAACACGAAGAAACTTACAAAAACAGTGTAAAATCCTTTTACAAAAGCAGATTTAACTCTAATAAACAGAAAATAACTTAACTGTCTTTTCCCTGAAATATTTTTATGCTGTAAACTTTATTTTATTTTTTGCTTTTAAATTTTAACTTTTAATTATAATTTTACTTATCCTTATATGCCATGCTTTAACCTAAATTATTGTGCTTTAACATTCTGCTTGAACTTTCTTTTTTAAAGCTATACTTTTACTTTACCCACACATACTTTATTAAGAGTTTTTAATTGAATTTTCAGATCTTACCTTCTTGTCTTAAATTTAAATAACATCATGTTGTACTTTTTAAACTATGTTAGAGCTGAACGTTCAAAGGATGAAGATTCAAGACAACTCCTCAGGAATATAAGCTCATGTGGTCTGCATTCTTTAGCTAATTCCAGGATTAGTACTAAAGATGTTCCAGCGTATTTTCTGGTTCGTTTTCTTCTTGGTGGATTATTGGTTTTGGAGGTTGGACTCTGTGATCCATATGCATACTGCCATCTGTATTCATTGGAGTTGATGCGCATGCCATATACTACACCCCGTGCCTTGAATTCACAGGTAAGTAATATTGATCAAATTCCTCATTAATTTTTTTTCTTGTTCTGAAGTAAATGATACATAAACTTGTTCAGTAAATTTGTTTCTGCAAATGGCTGAAAACCTCTAAGTTTTAAATTGTTTTTTTACTTTTGTTGTCTTAAGTGTCTTCAGAATATTATTTAACAAACAAATATTTTCTGGACCACTCTTTTGTCTAATATCCTTTGTTTGTTGAATATTTTATTGACAAGATAACTTAAATAACAGTGCTGCATTCTTCAATGTATTTTTATTGTAAGAATTCTTTTACTGTTGTTATGTTTTAATATTTTTACATTTAAGTGTTATATCTGGTTGTTCTTTTCCTTTGTCTTAGTTTATTACCACATTTCTGGATGAACTTGAGAGAATTAAAGTGAATATACATCAACATTCCTTCACATATGACTACCATCTTCGAACAATACACTCGTATATATCAGGAAGACAGCTAATATTTCGTCAAGGTTACCATCTTACAAGTTTCCTGGATGACTTTCTTAACTATTACCAGAAATCACCAAACTCTGCCCATAATCTTGTATATTCAGGTTTGTATGTTTAAAATTGAATTCTCTAGACAAAGAAAATATTATGCAATCTCAAGGTTAAATTTAGTGCACAGATACTCTATATCTGCAAAAGTTAGATGTTTGAGGATCTAGCATGTGGAATGACAGATTTAGTGATTTGGTGAAATGAAAGAGACAAGACACAGTGTTAAAGTTAAGAGAAAAATAAGATTAAACACTGTTTATTTGAGGTACGCTGAATGCGACAAGTTAGTTCTCTGTGAAAGGACTACTGTAATATGTGAAATGCTTAATTGAAATGGAATTGTCTGCGGACTTACAATGCTAGAAACCAGGTTTCGATACCCATGGTGGGCAGAGAACAGATGGATTTCTAGCTCTTTTTAATGCCTAATTAAGAGTAGGGGGTTGAAAATGGAGAGTAAAGATTGGTAAGATAGAAAAATTAATATTTTGAATAGCCTGTTTTCAACACCATTAAAGTATGTTGTAGAAAAAAATAAGCTTCTTACTGGCTGTCCCTTTGAATAGCTCTGTAGTAGAAATATGTGATAACACAGCTTTTGATAATCATTTGTTTAACCAAGTTGGATTGTATAAACAAAATTGTCTTAAACTTCTCTTTTAAAGAATTAAAAGAAAAAGCATGTGGTTTTAAATAAATAAAAAAAATCATTGAAAACTGAAATTCTCCTAGTTAAACAATTATAAGTTGAAACTATAGGATGGCTAGGGTGGTGTTTCCTGATTAAAAATTTATTTCATTTGAAGTTTAAAAAGATTACTATCTAATGTTTCAGTTTTTGAGAATAAATGTGTAAATATTTATCTACTATGTGAAAACAACTGTTTTATGTCTTGGTTTTATCTGAAATTTAGTTTGTTTACTGTACATTTAATGTGTTTAATTAAATAATTAAACATAACATTTAATAATTAAAAAAAAGCAAGTAGAAATATGAAGTATGTAAAACAGATTGGTTTGCCTAAAATTTACAGGATCAGTTATCATTGACAATATTAACATGCCACCACACCAGCTATACAACTATGTAATTAGTCATAATGAAGTATATGGGATGAGAGTCCTAAGAATGGTTCCTTTCTTACAAGATCCTATTTTGGAAATGGTAAGCCTTTTAGATAAGCTTTTAGTTTTTAGAGAGGATTTTGTCTTTTATCACCAGAATACTATTTAAATACATGATATTAGTAATATAAAAAGAAAAACTGCCATAAATCTTGAAATTAAAATCTAGGAAAACCTATAAAAAAAAGGGCATATTTATATATAAAAACAAAAACAAGATAAAAGTAAAGACCATGAATACTGGTGTATTAACCCTCTCACTACAGGTAGGTCAAAGTGTGCATGTCATGACCTTTTAGAGAGTTACATTTAAAATTTAATTAAACTACCTTTATATCATTCTATATGAAAAAACTTGGTAACAAAACATTGTTAATAAATCAAATTTTAATATCATACAAGATTTAAGTTCTTAATTGTAAAAGGAAATATTAAAAAAATCCTTAATCTCCCCTAGTATGAGAATTGTAGTGTTTGTTCTCCCTCTGCTCTAGTTTATTTACCTACCCTATGAGAAGTATCGAATTAAATGTAGAAATTACTAAGGCAAAGCGTACAGCCTTCAATTGTATTTTTTTTTTACTGTGCCATGCCACTCAGTGGCACAGCAGTATGTCTGCAGATATGACTTACAATGCTAGAAACCAGGTTTCGATACCTGTAGTTGGCAGAGCACAGATAGCCCATTGTGCAGCTTTGTACTTAACTACAAACAAATAATCATACAGAGCCATACACAAGAAAATAAGACCCACTTGCCTAGCCCATCTTTCACATTCTCTCTCTCATAAATTGCTGATAGTTTTTCTTGAAGCTTTATAGTATATTATTTATAACTTATAGAAAGCCAAATTGTAATATATCAAGTGATATATTACATTGTTTTCTGTATAGAGTATTGTCTATTTCACTTCCAGTTTGAAGATTTGCTCTTGTTTATTGACATTGACAAACTTAGCTAAATGTTTAGTCTCTTATTGGATAATTAGAAAGCCAGATAAACTTTGATAGTTATAGGACATTGCTTGCTTTATGTTGTTATTATTCTGTGTTCTTAGGTGTGTTATTTAATCAGATAAAAATTATTTAGTGTACTTGTACCCTTAGTAAGAGTCAACAGGAAAAAATCATATTTCTTGTTTTTCGTGTATATTCTTTATTTATTATTATAAAAGTAACTAAAACGTAAAAATTAGAAACTTGTTAGGTTAGATTAATAAGATAATGAAAACACAATAATAATAATTCTTCATAAGGTATGCTCATGAGCAGCTCATGCATTACATAATTTAATACAGTAACTTGAGCTATGCATTTGCCAGGTGATTTACAACTTGTCAGATTTAAAATTTAAGTGTAAACAGTTGTATACTGTTATGAGCTTTAAGCTATTTAGGATAAACAATTGTAGTTTTCTGTTACTATTTGCAGTCATTCTAGAAAGAAAAAAAGGATAATTTGGTTTATTTCAAATGAATGCATATGGAGTTATGGTAGAGAAAATAATGGATAAAATATAAAGTTTTACTAAAAAAAACGTTTATTTATTTAGGAAGTTTTAGAGATTATGCAAATAAAATTTGTCAATTTTTAGATGGAGTAAAGCATTTTTATCCTTGACATGAAAAATCACTTTGCTCTTGGAGCAGTCAACGCTTTGGCTCCATTTATTCACAAACAAATTTTTTAATAAAAAAAAATATTGTTTGTGTACAAAAGATTTGTAATGTTTACTGAAAGCTTATAAAATGTGAAGTTACACAAAAACATATTAAAAGTTATATTATGGAAACCCTGATGGTCACTTTGGGGTTATGACCTCAGTCGGATTGGCCAAGCTCGAAGCGAGAGGGTTAAATGAATATAATAAATACTTCTTCATGATTAAAAAGGTTAATTTTTCATGACTAAACAAGAAAAAGAACATGAAATATTGAAAATAAAATTGTATTATAATTTATCTGTTTATTTACTTTTTGTGAGCCTCATGAAATTTTATGTAAACTTGTAATATCAAAACAATTTTTTTAGGATACAGAATATGTGCTGGTTGAATTGTCAACACGCAAAGTAATCTACAGAGATGCCAATGACTTCAGGCAGACTGCTAGTTTTGATGTTGGCTTGTTGACTGCCCATGACACCATTTCCATCATACAAAGGGAAACTCGGGACAACTTTCAACCTTTGGTGTTCAAATTTTACATTCTTTTAACTAGTCAGCGAGAACTGTATCCTAAGCTTTTTAATTTTGGTTCCATGCTTGGGTCTTTTAGGCTTGTAAGGATTAAAAGAAAACATTCTTCAAGCAGCTGTAGCTCACGCAAAACTAGCTCAAACACGGATCCTCTCTCTAGCAGGAACAGGTTATATGATAGTCTTGAATCTTCTACTGAAACACAAAGTGATCAGGAGCACCCACAATACCGGTACCAAACTTATCATATTTAAATTATTTTAATTTAGTTTCGTTTTGTTGTGTTTATAGTATTAGCATTTTTCATTTAGTCATGAGTGGAAGGAATAACAAAAGTAGAAGTTACATATATGTTCAGGTATAACATGAATGATAAAAACACGAAAGCATCATATTCACATAATAGTTACATAACAGAAGATAATTGAAATTGGTACTTTAGTTAAGACTAGGCACAGTCACTGTTATAAAATAATGTCAGTCTCTCCCTCAGTTTATTTTCATGCAAATCAGGAATATAATCTGTTGCGTGGTCTGAAATATAAACAATTTTGCCCTGCCTTTATAAATGAACATATGATAAAGATGGCTTAATGCTTTTACTTATCATGACAATTCATTTTGATATGGAGTATGATCACCATGAACAACAAAGGCAGGCTAGTAGGAATGTTTTTTTAAGTTACACCATTGAGTTACCCTCAACCACTCATAAAAGAGCTCTCTCTCTCTCCGGGAAATTTCAGTGTCCTAACTTGGTAGAATGTGGCATGTCTTACAAGAGTATTCAACACCTGCTTGTGGAATTATAATCATATGAGTATTTAAGCCATTCCACTACATCAGTACCCCTTTCTTCAAGAAAGGTATTAACCAGTTTAGCATGGTTAGGGTGGATCTTCCATTAGGTAGAAGTTAGAGCCAATGGTACTAGTACGTGGCAGTACATAGGATTGTATGATGTGGTCTGTATAACATGTTGCATTAATAATACCATGACAAAGGATTTTAGAAGTTGATGCCTACCTGTGCTTACTTCTGACCTTACTGTACTTCCACCTGCACCATAGGTATCATATAAATATGGAGTTGGATCTAACTTCAGCTTCTCCAAATGAGTATAAACTTTTTATTTGGCTGTCACGTGAAGTGCAACTCATCTGTAAAAAAATATTGTTTTACCTGTCATTTGTCTATTGTGTGTGTTCTTGATTTGGAAGTGATTCTGTTAATGGCATTTTAAAAAACTGTCAACCAATTTCCAACAATCTGCATTGATTGGTTTCCTTATCTTATTACTCTCTACATAAGTGAAACTTCCAGATGTCTTTTTTGTTGTTGTTGTTTTGAGGTTTAGCCATAGTTTATGAACAACTTGGATTTGCTGAGACAAGATTGTGTAACAGTAAACATAATTCAGCCTGAATGACCAGTTGTATTTCAAATTATATTGGATGCCTGATTTCAAAACAATGAACTGGTGTATATGAGTGATATTATTTTGTAAAAGTGTTATTATTTTGTTATTACTATAATATTTTGATTACTGGTTGTCCTTTTGTTGTTTTATGCATTGCATAGTGGTATTAAACCTTTCGATAAGATTTTGAAGCTGCACACTTAACTAAAGGGCTAACTTGATAACCTAAGATATGATGTTCTGCTTTATAGTCTCTCAGTTCAGAGTTTTTCTGTAAGCATTTAAACAATGATTCCAGAAGTTAATAACTGACTTACTAACCATTCTTTTGTGTCTTTAAAGATTCACCAAAATGAAAATCTTGTAATATCAAGTGCTTGAGGGCTGTGCATGGCTGAGATGTTTCTGTGCCCAAACTTTGGTTCTGAGGGGTTTTGGCTCACTTTGAAATGTTACAAAAAATGCTCTGTATATTGGTGCACTGTAGGAGTGATAGTGAAATACCACTGTTTTGTAAAACAAGAGTAGTTCAATAGTTGGTTATTATGGGTGTTATCATCTGGCTACTTTTACTTTTGTCTGTCGGTTCAAAATAAGGGATGGTTTTTCATAGATAACCTGTGTGTCACCTTGTGGGAGAATTCAAAATGAGCAAAGAAACACATTTAAAATTTTTCTAGAGTACTAGTAATATGTGAAAATTTGTGATCACTACTTGACACGTGCATTACGAGTAATAACACTGTGGAAATGTGTTAACGTGAATTTAGCTTCATTAATTTGTTAATTTTTAGTTCTGATTTGCATAGTGGTAGCTCACATTCGTTTTTAGAAGCTAATAATAATAAAGGAATGTTTGTGATGGAAATGTTAAAATTACATTGATAGGTGAAAGATAAGCTCTTTGTTCATTATTTCTTTTGTTTATTTTTCCTTTATAATCCCATATATTATGAGATGTATTTAATTAGCTCACCTGGAAAAAAAGTTATTATGTTTTGTCACTTTTTTAAGGAGTGCCCACTTACTACGTTAATGACAGCCTGGATTGGATTACTAACACTTGTCACCAGCTGTTGGTACACAGCAAACTGCTACTTTTTCTCTCAAAGCCACTACAAGTTTATTGAGAATTTGTGGTTTGTTCCTCATGTAGCATTACAAGATGTTTCAAGCCAAGACTGTGTTAGCCAATGCAGTCATTATTTTTCCAAGCAATTTTTTTTTCTCTTGTTATTTGTTCCAGGATATCATACCACTTATGCTGCATCCAATAACCACTCCTCTGAACTTTGTTTCTTTGTACCAACTTAACTCTGTCTCACTATCTATGGCAGTTACTGATCTGTATAAACCAAATTCTGTGAAAATGGGCCTATTATGAGCTTGATGTGTTCTTTCCTTTTATGTATGGTAATATGGCATATTTGTTTCAACTGAACAACAATTAATAGTAGTAGAAAATGAAGTTAGATTTGATTATTGTATATACTTAGTACAAATGGTGGATGGCATTGCATCTCGTGTGCACTTTTACTACAAATAAAATCATAACTAAAAAGTATATATATATATATATATGTGTGTGTGTGTGTGTGTGTGTGTGTGTGTTGTATGTATGTATGTATGGTTGGATGTCTAGTTGTTGCAGATTATTTTATTTTGAAGTTAAGGCATTAACTAAATAAGAATAATGATCCAAATATGCCAACAGATAATTAACATATTTTTATGATATTCTACATACTAATAATAGGCTTACTGAAAATATAATTTTTCTATGAATGTGTAAAATGTAATTTTCACACTAAAAGCCTACCAGAAAAAAAATGTGAATTTAGCATTCAAGCTTGTAATGATTTAAATTGATGGTATTTGTACTTCCTAATTAACAATATTGCTATAAGACTGAGTATTTCATCATAATAAACACTGCTAATAAACAAGCTTTGAATTTGTAATAGTTTCGTTAAGCAGGGTTTTTTGGTCACTGAAGATGTTTGGTGTTGCAAATATCAAGTGACCATACTGTAAGCATAAAATACAGTTCCCACTGTTACATCCCCCAATGGCACAGCGGTATGTCTGCACACTTACAACGCTAGAAACCGGGTTTCAATACCTGTGGTGGGCAGAGCACAGATAGCCCATTGTGTAGCTTTGTGCTTAACTTAAAAAAAGAACAAAAACCCACTGTTACTTTAAGGCTGCTTATTATAAAAGTGTATGTTATGTTATTAAAACAAACGTATCATGAACTTTATTAGAAACTGTAAAAACCATTCATGAAATATCTTAAATGCATTTATTTTGCTTTAAGATGTTAGTTTTTATGTATGGGTCTTCTCACTAAAAGTAACATGAGACTGACATCCTTTGCTTAGCCAAGTAATAATTTTTTTAAAACACTTTGTTAATACTATTCACGTATCATTTTAGTTGTCAAATATGTTTTGTACTACTGTCACTTATTGTCACTTATTCAAATTTTCAAGATTTACTGTGTTGGATGAAAAGGATCTATTTGTACAAGTAGAACTTCCTAGGTTTATCTTTAATTTAATGTGGTTTTAGTTCAGTGTGAAGTATTGATGAGTATTAATCTGTTTTCATTGTGTTAGCATTTTACTGTTATACCATTTACAAGCTGTAGGAAAAGAGTGAGATTTCCAAAGCTATTTTATATGGAAGTTAGTGTCTTACTAAATAAATGCATACAGTTTATGTGACTAAGTTGAGCTTAGCTACATTATTGACTGATGAGGCATGTTTGGAGAGAAGTAAAAAAAAAAGAAAGTTCAATGAGATATTATATTGTTGTCTGTACCTAAACGTACATTTTTGTTGTACATAATTACTTATGGTATTATGTGATTCTAAGACTTTAGTTAAAACACAATGTTTTATGAACTATTGGGCAGTTTTGATTGATATCTTAACAAAATTGATGTTTAATTTCTTGCTCCTAGTCATTGAATTTATGGTTTGGAGTTACTTTAAACATTATCAGAGTATATTTTCAGTTTAACTAATATTAATTAATATGAAAGAATGCTAATATTTAAGCTTCAGTATGAATTTAATAACTTTTCAAGATTTTAATTAGAAATTAAACAACATTAAAACAAAAAACTGCTGAAAGAAGTATAACCCGTTAAGGAATAATGCATTGTAATATTTGTTTAGGCCTTATATGGCCATCCACAGAGTTTGTGATGAGGAAGTGTCATACCTGAGTTACTACAGTAACCATGAAACAATGATGCAAGACATATTAGAGGAGCAGGCTGAGCGTGCCAGAGATCATCTCACCAAAGTGGTTCAGCAAGCTGCTGTAGATTGTCGACGAGATTACCTATGGAGCTGCCTGATGAATCAAGGTCTGAAGGAGTTAGAAGGAAGTGGAACAGGATCTAGGGAAGGGGTCAGTGCCATTATTTCCAAATCTTGATCAAATTATGTTTGTTTTTTACTGAGAAGCATTGTAGCTGTCTATTTTTCACTCTCAGTTCAGGGGACAGAATATCCAGGTTTATATTGCAGTTTGTGAATCAAAACAACCCCAGTTGTGAATCACTTTCTTCTTTGCTTAACATAACATGTAAATCATTACTTTCTCTTGTATGTTATCTTTGAAACCTCCACAACACAGTGAAAGTGCCAAATATTTCAGTTTGATATACCAAAGCCAAAGCTGATGTTTGTTTCTCTGAAAATCCCACCAAATGGCACATACAGTATTTTCACACTTTGTCATATGCATATCAGATACACATACACTTTGTAGTAGTCTGTTCATGATGTTTATATTATAATAAGTAATTTACATTAAATTTGATTTATCTTGGAGAGGCGATAAATAAATTAGAGAAGCGGGGATACCTAAAGAAAAATGTCACATTTCTCATACTAGGGGAAATTCAGGATCTTTTTTTAATATTGCCTTATAAATTAAGAACTTAAAACTTGTATACTATTAAAATATAGATTATTAGCTATGATTTTATGCTGTACTAATTGGTATAACATGAACATAGAAAGTAGTTTAATTACATTTTGAAATGTATCTCACTAAAAACCTTATGACATACATAGTAAAGGATGCCTGTGCCGAGAGAGGTAATTACTGCTGAAAAGTCACTAGACATTTTCTTCTTCAAAAAGCCAAGGAGACCACATTATGAAGAGAGTTATGAGATCTCACCAAAAGAAAAAGAGGAATAAACTAGATTAATTTGAAAACAATTTGTGGCAATATCTTCAAGTCACTTCTTTCTCTGGTTAATCGATTGTTGCATTATTTTGTGGCAGCTGAGGTGTTTGGTATTTCCTACAGTTTTGAAGTTTTACTTTATATACCAGGAACTATTTTCTTTATGAAATTCTCTGTATGGTACAGTTAAATATTGGAATAAGAGAATTCTTAGAAATTGTTAAAAACAAAATGTATATAAGTAGAGATTTAGGCCTAAAAGCCATGAAAGTAAATTTTTGGAAATTGTTGTGGTAAATGGCATCACCTTTAAAACATGCTAATTATACACCTACGTAGGTTTATAAGAAACTTCATGTAAAGTTTTTTAACTTATATTTTTTTAACCTTTAGAAATGAATTATTGTGCAAGTAAAAACATTGATGTCTTGTTTGATTAATTTTATTTATGATTTTGAGCCAAAAAAATTTAATAAAAAATACCAAAAGATATAATGTAAAAAATAACTGCAGAGGATAAAATAGTTTGGTGGATTTGATTAGCAGAAACTGCTAATCAATACTGAATTTGATTAGCAATTAGCAAATATTGCTTAGCAACTTATCTATTTAACAATACCTTCAAACAACTCAATTATTTTCATATAATTTTTGCAAAAATAAACAAAAAACAACAGATCCCCTCCATTAAATATCGTATAATACTTCTCAATGTTAGAGTAATAGTTTAGCAGCATGCATTCTATTGATCACTCAAAATTTGAAAGAAGAAAACTAATTTTTTTCCAGAATAAAAATTCTTTGAGAATATCTGTCAAACTTTAGTACACTTGTTATAAAAAGGGTTAAAAAAATTGTGAAAACTTATTACTTTTATGTCTAGGTTTCCTAGTGTACTTTCATAAAATTACAAAAACCTAAATGTTTTTGTGCATGACAGTATGATTGTGAACTTCAACTGCACAGAGCATATTAATAAACACCCAACTTTTAATTTATCTTGTTTATTATTGCCAGATGGTGTTTGAGTAAGTGTTCATTTGAGTTTCTGAAATGAAGTTATTTCATATTCCAATATCTGAAATTGAAATTCTTGTATTGGCTATAACTAGAAGAGATAACTATAATTTAGAATTTTTATAATACGTTTTCGAGTTTTTGTGTCTTTGTTGTAAAAGATTTAAGTTATCACTGTGCAAAAGACATGGCCTTTTACAACACTCAAACTCATGAAGGATTCCTTTTTATTATGAAATATTCAAAATTTTTTTGTTCCTTTTAAATAGTGTTCCTTCTGATACTACCAGTGAATAGTTTTTCAGAAACTTTTTTTAATTTTGTGCATTTCTCTAAATTAAGGTAACACTGAAAGTAGGTTATAAATTTTTTTATTTCCTTTGTTAAGAGTTCTGTTTCATTATTTAATGGAATCATAAAACCACAGATGCATTAATTGTCTAAGCCTTGTATTACAAATCTGTCTTCATTTCATTGGTTATTAATGAAAAGAATTTAGTATAATTCTTAATCTATAACAGTTAGCCAGTTGTCGGTTGGAAGTGCATATTTTTGTTTTTTCATTTTAAAATTCAGTCATTGTAAGTGGTGCAACAAGATTGTTGCTAAATGTTCAGATTCAGTCTCAACTTCATTTGTGCTAAAGTTCAAACTGTTAAATCACCATTAAATAAGTTTCTTGAATTCAAAGTTTATAGTGCTTAACCTTGATGAATGACAAAAGTCTTGCAAAAATTAGGATTTTGTTTGTTGTTGACATGATTTTATCAACTACTGCAGTCATCCAACACCATCAACTATAATGAGTTCACCGAGCTGATGAAACTAGTAAAGACTGTAGGTTTGAGTAACGTCGATCCTCGGCTCTCTGTTTTTGACAACATGCACATTTCGTGGTATCAACGTTTAACTCGAGTTTTAACAATAAAGTATGCAGACTCACACATGTACTTTGTGTCACCTGATGGCAATATCATCTATGTGGTAGGTAAATTTAATATGTAATTGAAATTTAAAATTTTTCTAGTGTATTTATATAGTTTCCAAAGTTTTGTATATATGATTTTAAATTTTTAATTTGTTCTCTGATATTGTGTTTTGTAATGAATTTTTGTAGTGGCAGCTAACAAAGATGTACCATAAGTGTATGTTATGGTACTGTGCAAGCCACTATTATTAATTGTGATTTATTGTGTGTGTGAGTAGGTGTGTATATTCCTAAGTTAACCCTAAATGTTTTAGCTGATTGTTTATGAGCTTCTTTTAGTGTTGTTTGTTTCCTAATAACT